GATTATGTATTTATTTATTTATTTATTTATTTATTTATTTATTTATTTGTTTATTTATTTATTTATTTGTGTATGTAATTTTTGGAGCTGTCAGCTGATCTTCAGACGTTTCCTATTAAAAAACTAAGTTCCCATTGGTCAATCAGAGTGATCATGGTTATTGAGTTAAAATATTTAACAACTAATGTGAAGTTATTTTTTTAACAAATCGTGTTTTTAACCATCTGATTCCAGGTTTTTGCTCTTGATGCCAGCCTACAGTTCAGCTTTTCTGTTTGCTGACAGATGAAACTAAACTGATGCCCTGTTAAACTCACTATTGTCTGTTTTTTCTTTTCCATTTACTGGGGGGGGGCACACAGATGACAGCTCACAGGACAGGAGGAGGGGAGAACTTATTTCTAGCTGCAGAGCAGGTTGGAAGATGGTTATTTGATGTTAATTAATGTTTTTAACGTCCTGCAGGCTCTGAAATGCAAAATAAAAATGAACCTGAGTTTTTAAAGAGGTCAGAAGCACGATTTGAACACTTCTTTAGTTCATTACACACATGCCACGGTGGCAGGTGTGTTGTTCAAATCTACTCACCACTTCATAATTTTACCCACATTTGGCCCATGATGGGTACTAATTTCTACCCCTGGTCCCTGAGCAGGACCCAGAACCCCTCATTGCCTCTGCCATCTGTGCCCCATCAGTCTGAATGAGATCCAAAGCTCCAGTAAGACTCTACAGGATTTATTTAGATTATCTTTGTAGGATCTATGTAAGTATAGTTCATTCATTCTGTCTGGAAAACTTGAAGAACTATCATCTTAATATGATAGAGGGGTCTGAGTACCCTGTGATCCTTGGGCTTGGAGGAGTGGACAGACTAAGAACTATTTAAAGACCTTGATGAAAGAGGACCACACAAACCACTACCTCACTCAGAATAATAATAAAAAAACCAGTAGGACAACCTCCTGGAGCCTGACTGAGTGCCTGGTGGTAGCCTTGGTTCCAGTGGCTCAGGACGATGGAGGTCAGGTGCTGTGGGAGTCAGCTAACAGGCATTGACCAGGCTCTGGGCATGCTGAAGTCTCTGATTAAAACTGGTTTTACAGATTTACAGTGTCACTTCACCGGTGACTATAGACCCGGGTCCAGCAGTAACTCTTAGAAATAGTTGAACTTGCCTCCACTCAAACCTAATGTACAGAGTCCCTGTCCACTGTAGACTGTGCATGTAAACCTGACAGCCCTGAGCCTCACAACACAAGGATTAGATCTCAGAGGCCTCCTAAGTGTGGAGCTCTGCCCAAAGGATCTGTAACCTAGACTCACATTGGGTTGGTTCATCTTTCTGAATGTTGTTCATCTATCTGTAAAATTCACAAGAATGTATCATTTAAAGAGCTACATGGCTGAATGTTAGCGCTGGTGCCTCACAGCTAGAAGGTCCTGGGAGTGTATGTGTTTGTGTGTCTCTGAGCTGACAAACATCTCTTGTTTTGGCTGTTCCTTCATCAGATGAAGGTGATGATGATGATGACCCTGAATACAATTTCCTGGAAGATCTGGATGAACCAGACCTGGAGGACTACAGGACGGACCGGGCCGTGCAGATCACCAGTAGGTGGCACTGTCTGTTTAGAGGGGGGAGCCTCCTCCTCCTCCTCCTCCTCCTCCTTCTTCTTCTTCTTCTTCTTCTTCTTCTTCTTCTTGTTTGTTGAGTTCTGAGTCTGAACTCAATTTGTTTTCTTATTTAGAAAAGGAAGTCAATGGACTTCTAGAGGAATTGTTTGAAACGGTAAGTTTATTTCTTTGACTGTAATGAAACGTACAACTTTGTAATTAAAACCAACAAATGTGATGTTTTAGTAAAGTCTTGTTCCTCCTGAACCTAAATAAAGAGTTTGACCTGTGTTCATGCAGCTCCAGGAAGATCATGTTCCAGCTGAAGATGAGGACCTAGAGACTTCTTCAGTGACTCTTCCTAAGTTTAATGTTCCTCAGGCTTTATGGTAACACTTCTGTTTTAACATCGTGAGGACATTTTTAGAGATACACCAGTTACCTCCTCAAAACCAGCAAAAACTCACATTCAGCTTCATTGACCATAACAGGTGATGGGACAGCCAGAAGGGACCTATGAAATCTTTTTTTCCCATATATTCATTCTAATTGTAGTTATTAACCTAAAAAGTATGCAAACATAAAGTGACTGAAATATAATACAACATAACCTAACATAACATAACATAACATAACATGACATAACATATTGGCTGTGGTTCAGCAGTGCATTCAGTTGTTTTGCTTTGTTAGTAAATTTGGTGATTCAGTCTGTTTTCTGCTTTGAGGGTATTTTAGGGTCTTAAGACTCAAAATTCAACCTGTTATAAAAACAGATGGTGCAACAACGTAGTAATAGGGTTTTATTTCAGTTATTTTCTCTACTTGATTTGAAAAACATTTATGACTGATTACAACAATGGTATTCTTTTATTTTTTTATTGTTTCTTAATGTCATCTGTCTTTTATTTTGTTAATCTGTAATTCCTGCTAATGATTGGTTGGTCACTTCTACTGTCAGTCTGTGTTAGGGCTGGGCAGTATGACCTCAGATTCATATCAGGGTATAAACTGAATCTCTTCACAGTAACAGTATTTATCACTGTAGAAAATGATCATAAAAAACAAAGATAATGTCATTTTTAAAGCATTTATTTAGCAGAAAACTGTAATCATAATCAAAGCCAGTATTTTTGCTGCAATACAAATGAACACAACAGAAGAACAAAAGAAGGTTTTATATATATTTTAAAACTGTTTCAAGAACAGACAAAAACATTTCTCAAATTTCCAACATGAAAATAAAGTGGATGTTTTAACCAGAACATCAAGTAAAATTAGTCATTTAGACTTAAAAACATTTTAAATGATTTAAAATGTTACAGTGTGACAGGACCTTCAGCTACACAGAGTCCTGTCATAAAACTATTTCACATAACTGGAATATAAGTGTGGTGAAGCCAAATAAATGTAACATCTGCCTGCCATACAATGAGCTTCTGCTCTCATCTTCATCATCTTCATCATCAGAGCAGAACTGTTACATTAACAAGATGATTTATGACTGAACAAACGTCCACATCTTTTATCATCTCTCTGGGGAACAACACATAAAAACAAGTTTTTCTCAGACAACTTGTGTGTAAAAACTAGAGTTGTTAAAGTTTCACTGTGTGTGACGTGCAGCAGGAGGAGGGAGGAAATCATCCTGTGACACAACGTAACTTTTCTACAGCAGCAGGGAAATGTTGAGGATTTATTCTCTACGTGTTTTAAAACTCTAATTTCTACATTATGTTTCAAACTGGTCCTGCTCAGGTGTGTCTGCACTCACAGCCCTGTTCACACAGGTGTGATGATGTCACTGATGACAGGACAGGACAGGGTACAGTTCTACCATCTACCACATACACCACACAGCCCTAGTCTGTAGTTAATGAGTCCTATGATCAGTCTGTTGGTTGGTTATACAGTAATTAATGCTCATAACAGTCAATCGATTGGCCTACAGCTGATCAGTTCTATGTATGATTGATTGATCCTACTTCAATCAATCAGCACTTCAAATGACTGCAAAATGTATAGTTTTAAATTCATTATTGAATAGACCCCCCCCCCCACACACACACACACACACTAACCTTGTCACCTTTTTCCTCCCTTCTGAGTTTGCAGCTATGATGATTAACTGCTCTTACAGTCAGTCAGTTAGTTAGTCCTGCAGTCGATCGGTTGATCTGCTGTTAGATGATCCTCCTGTTGGGACGGTGCAGCAAAGAAGTGCTGTGACTGTTTGGGTTGGGAGGAAGAGAATTTGCCTCTGCTGCTTCTTCTGATAACCAGACATTACAAAAGAAGAATCAAACTAAGAGGAAACATCCTGTTGTCATCTTTGTCTAGTTTTAGACCACGTGCTTCTAGCAGACGTAACTGTAACGTAAATAACTGTAACATAGACTTTAGCTAGTTGAAAAATTATGACTTCAATAAAGTAATAAAGTATATGTATTATTTCTTACTGTCATAAATAAAAATAATAAATATTTACCAGTCAACAGTTAGAAAATATTCTCTGTTAACCTGGTTTTAGGATGAAACATTTCTCTATTAATTAACCATCTTCTCTACAGGTCAGGTTCCTCTAACAGAAACCTAAAAATACTCACATTTATAATATTATTTTACACTCTGTAGGTCTAAATATACACTCTGTAGGTCTAAATATTAATCAGACATTTATAATATTATTTTACACTCTGTAGGTCTAAATATTAATCAGACATTTAT